GGGGGGGGGAAATAAATAAAAAGAGAGTAAACCTCAGGTACTATCCAACAGCCACTTTCTCCCATTCAGGCATAAGGAAATAAAATATGTGAATGAAAACTATTTCCCAAACATTGCACTTTTATTTGTTGCCAGCAAGAAGCTCCTCCAGCAAGTGATGTTACTCACCATCTCCTCGCAAGGGATGCACGACTGGTCTCGTACTGACTTCACATGACAGAGGAACTGGAAGGAGAAGAAGGGAGACATGAGCTGCCTCGATTGCTTACCTGTGCCAAGGAGCAGGAGCAGGCTCTCCCCACGGGCCAGGGCTGAGCTTTGCTCTGCCCAGAGGGGAAGCACAAATGGACCAGGTGTGAAGCACCAAGCTTCAGGCTTGCTTGACAGAAAGCAACTTCAGGGCATCACAGCCAACTCATCCCTTTAATACTCAGTCCTATCGTCCCACATGATCCATCTGGACAGGAAAAGGATTTCATGAGCTTTAGCAGTCAGGTTTTACTGCTGTGCTCTTTGCATTGTTGTGTACCAGCATGGACACCAGTTGCGTGTCTGCCTGATCCCTTCTGAAAGGTGATACGCGCCAGGGACACTCAATACAGTTCGTGAAGGATTTGTGGATCGTCTGGGAGAAAAGACAATATGCATTTATGACACAGTGCCAGGCTGCAGCAATGACTCTGCACAGCATGCAGCAGAAATCAAACCAGGAATTTTTCTGCTAACACCAGTAACAAGCAATGAAGATGCCAGCAGCAAAAGTTAAGGAGTCATTTAATTATTTTTCTTATTGATTCATTTCAACCTGGATCTTCCTGCTTCACAGTTTGTTTTTAAATCAGTCCAGAGGAACAAATATTTCTCACTCTCACCAGTCTTAACCTACCCTCCAGCCAGCAGTACCCTTTAGAAAAGCAGATGCTTTTTGGATAATGGGGAATTAGTTTCTGTTTGTGTACATTCAAGTAACTGGAAGGACTTGGGCCTTCACATCCATAGCTGGCCAGCTTCAGCAGGCCAGGAGCCCTCTCCCAGGCATCAGAGGGTGTGCTTTGCTTGGCTCTTACCTCTGGGGTGGCTTCATTGAAGTTACAGACTGTTTCCATTCCTCCCAGCTTCCAGTGCCCATCCTCACTTACAAACACGGATGTTAAACAGACGTTGTTATGTGTTAGGTTTCCCTAAAATAGGTTTCCCTAAAACATTAAAAAAAAAAAAAAAAAAAAAGATAACAGAGTTGGGGATAGATGAAGATGTAAAAACTTAATCAGTACTAATTAAGTGCTGCAAGGAGCTGAGGAAAAGCTGCCAAAAAGCACACAATTCTAAAGGTCCTTCGGGATTTTGTAGGTGACTAGCCGGTATCAGGCAGAAGGGATGGGGTTTTAGAGCAGACAAAGCTGTAATTGTCACAACGCAATTGTAAATCCAGAAGACCTCCAACTATGAACACAAAGCCCAAAAACTACAGTCTGAGCTGGGATTTAACTGCAATCCTGGACAAGCGCACAGTGCCAAAACAGAGGAGTGGTGACACCGATCTCTGACACGTGGCAACAGCTGTAAATAAATGCCGAGGCCGAGCAATCCCATTTCCCTAAAGTAAGAAGCACTGCAAGCAGATGTCAATCCATGAATTGAGAACTGCTCCCTTACTTCCAAAACCCACAGCATTTTCAATTACTCTTCCTCCTAACAAAGCAGCCAATGATCTTAGCGGTTTCAGCCTAAAAGAACTGTGGGGTATGGGTCTGTCTTTTTGTGAAGAACCGGTAATGAGACAATCGTCCAGGCAAGCCCAGGTACAAGGCTCTCCTGTCATGTTTCATCTGGCTCCCACCAAAGCCTGACGACTGCTGCCAGTGGTACCTACCCTGTCGTGGAGGAAGATGAGCGCCAGCAACACATCGTAGATTCCTGCACAGATTTCTGCAGATGAGAGTGTCTCCAGGACCATCTCCAAAGGCTTCACACGTTCTGTAACCAGGTGGATCCCATTTGCTTCCACAGTACAAGAGAGGAAGCGCAGAAGGCAAGGGTGGCGCAAGGTTTTCAGGTGCTTCCAGAAACAAAGACATCTGTCAAATCTCATCCAAGGCATCTCTTTTGGCTGCAGAGCTTAGCCTTGTTCTTTCAGCCATATATTCTGCTTGCATTTAGATAGCCCATCCTTGCTCCTCACCATGCACTCAGCACACTCACTCACTCATTGCAGAACCCTTTATAATACATCCAGATAAAATCTTACGCAGAATAAACACAGTATTTTGGGTAGGGTCCACCTAAGAAAGACTCTCTAACTTAGATCTGCAGGACGAGACCAGTGCCCTGCAAATGAATGCAGGTATTGCTATCCGAACACCGTTTCCCACCACCACTCGCATTGTGTGGCGCACAATGAGCTTTGCAGCTGCCAACCCCCTTGTTCCCCCCCCACAGCAGCTGTTTGCAGCCACGGTCAACTTTGACCTTTTCTCCTGCCCTTAGTCCCCCCAAAGGTTTGACCCTCATTAACTCATTCCCACCCCTCCAAGAAAAAGGAGGGACAGCTCCGACAAGTCTGTCCCAGGCGCACTCTCCACAGTACCTTGGCAGCTTTATTAACCTTATCTTCATTCTCTCGCTTGTACACAAAGACCGAAGCAAGTTTGCCATCTTGTAGCACGGCTGGATAAATTGTGTGTCCAGTTGGCAGTGTGAACGGTGGCTCTTCTAGTACGTAGCTCTTCAAAGCACTGTTCTCAGAGCCCATCACTTGCAGAGTTTGGCTGTTGTAGAGGTTCCCTCTTGACAACAAACAGGCCTTTGGGTGAAGGAAGATTTTTTCCAAACAGATTCAGTTCTGGCAGGCGCTGTCCAGTTCGCCTTCAGAGCATTTTCTGAAAAGCATGAGACAGCCATGAGGACCTCCTCCTGCCAGCATCCTCTCCTTCAGTTTAAGGACAAGAACAAAATCCCCACCCACTGTAAAGGAAACCGGGTGTCCATGAAAGGGTTCAGATCAACAGGCGAGCAGCTCTCTAGCTGTGGAGGTAGGACTGCACTGTCATCTGTGTCAGCATCACCACCAGACATCACCAGCTCTGCCACACAGACGAACAGACAGTACGGTGTCCACAACTAGTCACTGACCTGGCCACCAAACCCAGGATCCATCAAAACTCCCAGACATGCAGAAACCTACTCCAGAGGTTTAGTTCAGGTAAGCCCAGTCAGCAGTTAGGAACTGCCTCAGGGCACAAGGAGCCCCCGGCCTTCTTAAAAGCAGCCCCTGCTCAATTCTCCAAGACACAGAGGACTTCTAGCAAAGCTATAGTCAGGTAACCTCCTCCAGCGGCATGCTTCCCCCCCTGCCCCCAATTACCTTTTCTCCATCTGACAAATATTCCATCTGCCTGCCAACCCTGCCTTCCTCCCACAGCCTCTGTCAGGAAGAGGCTGGCACAGATTTTTGTGCTGCTTCCTCGCACACAAAACCGGTAAAACAAACACGCTGATTGCAGAGGCTCTTTTAGAAAACACTGACCATGCATATGCTCTGTAATCAGGCTTGTGATCACAGGCTACAGGCGAGACCCTGAATACCGGTCTGTATACAGAAGTTAGCAAATGATACTTTAGTAATGAGAGAGAAAAACCTCAGTTTTTGGGAAAAGCAGGGGAAAATACTGCCCACCCCCAAGGATTTTTTGCAACTGGAGAATTGCTTTATGGTGGTTGTTTCCGGCCGTGACCAGAGGCTTCAGGAGGGCAACAACGCAGGGGTCTCTCAGCTCCCCGACAGAGCTGTTCCAGCAAAGCTGCTGCTCTGGCCCCTCTCCCATGTCTCTAGTTCAAGCCCTCCCAGGAGCTCCGAGGTCAGCAGTGCTGGGAGCCTTCTGGAGATCTGGTCTGTTAGGTTTTCCAGGCTTCTTTTCACTGCTTCAGTTAAGAATTAGTTATCTAAATGATTGCCCCCCTCCCCCCTTTCCCCAAAGTCTTATATTTAAACATGTTATGATCTGATGTTTTTTTTAAATGTAAACATGCCAATTGCACAACCCCCTAGTCAACAAGAGCATTGTGAAGGAGCAGAATGCTGCCTTTTTAATAGACTTCATACAAATCCTTGCTCACACATCATTTAATCACCTTTGTTAGCTAACTGTTCTGTAACAAACAGGTAGCTACAACTCTAGATGTGTTTCTCGCTAGGAGGAATGAACCCTGGGAACACATTAGATATGGGAACCAGAACACATTACAGCTCTTAACTGTTTGATGTGAACAGACCTTAACCCTCCAGAGTGTACCAAGTAAGTGTACAACAACCACTACAGTTGGAAATTGTGGTTTTTTTTGTTTTTTTTTTTTTTTTTTAATTGAGCTTGTGTGCCCTGATCAAACTAAAAATCTAACACTGAATTATCTACAGAACATGCAGCTTGCTGTCATTCTCTCCCCTCTAGTGTCAGGGACGGATCTGCACCTCTTCAGTGCCAATTCCTTTAACATGACCTTTAAGAAATCAAGGGAAAGCTGTAGAAGTCTAAACTGCAGCATCCCAGCACTAGACAAAGGGGCTAAGAGGTGAAAGGGAAGCACCATGCATCAGTTACAGGCAGTTCTTAAAAGGACTTTCTGGTGAACTCCTTGGCACAAAAGGATTCACGCTGCCCTGAGATGGAAGGCCTTCCTCTCCAGCCGGTCCCTGGGAGCTCTGCTCTGGCTCACCCCAGGTTACCCATCCACACCTGTGTGCAATGGCACCGGCTGCTCCTGCCGGGCACAGCTGAGGGCATTAATCTGCATTCTCTGCTTTGTTTGCTAGCTCTACTGTAATTACTTCTCAGTCAGATTTTGCACAGGACAGCTGAAAGTGTCTGAACTGACCTAGTGCCTCGTGTTCCTCCAAAAGCATATGGACATATTCATGGGTTACGAATTTGGCTTCAGGGATGCCTTCAGGAGTCATTCAAATAACTGCGATCTACTCGAGCGCCACTGTACAACAACCAGCTCCAAACAAGCATCCCCTGCTCCAGGTAACCGTCTCTCAGGAGGAACCCAGCAACTCTCAGTATCAAACACCGAGCACCTTCAAGAGAGCAGCTTCGAACAACCAAGTGGCAACAGCAGCCTGTGGAACCACGAGCCACACTTTTCAGGAACACGTCAGCTTTGCAAAACTATCGCTTGGTTTCGTTTCTTTTTTGCAGCACTCCAAAACATGCTGGCTATTGAAACTCCAGCAGGCAAAAGCGTTTGCAAAGGTGTATGCCTAGGTGTGGCTAAAACCCAAGGAAGAATTCTTCTGATGCTAAAATAAACTGTCAGTCACACAACTATGCTGTGTAAGGACCACATAGGCTTTGCGGGTTAAGAACATCACCCACGTTGTAACCCTTTAACATCTTATTTTCAATAAATTGTAAACATGAACATTAGGTGTAACACACCGTGCACCTTGAGATGGAGAGAAGCCCAGCAGGGAAAGACGGAAGGACTGGGAGTTAAGAACAATTTGGGTTTGCTACCATAAACGGTGTTAGAGTTGGAATTTCAGTTTAAGTTCCTTGCAGAGTGGTAACACCCCACATACAAGGTATTCACCTGAAACACGTACACCAAGCCCTGTCACTCCCATTCCAGGGCCAAGAGTGAGGCAGTTCCTGGCTTTCCACTCGCCCTGCCCGCCACCTCCCATGCCAACAGAGCCTCCTGGAAGCTGCTATCAGAGGCGACGGGTGCTTTGCTCCCAAAGGCAGTGGTTTCCCAGCACGGCGACTGCAAACGTCCAGCGAGCACCTT